CTACGCATTGTGCATACGTACGTGCAGTTTTGCAAAAATAATTGTGTGCGGTTGTAACTACCGCTCGCGTGACGTGCGCGCATCCAACAGGTGGTATTCATCCCTCTGATTGGTCGAACATTCTGCGCGCGGAGGGAGACTCATCCTGTGATTGGTTGAATATTTTGTAGGGCAGCGCTCGCAGACGATTTTGATGCTGAAGGTTTTCAAGAACAACAACCGAAGCTTATGAATACAATCTGTTGTGTCAGTGATTCGGATTAAAGGGGGCAAGCTGGATAACTTGGAGAAGCAGTATAAAACAGATATAACGAGGTTACCGGATAATGGAGAACTTAAGCAAAAAAAATTTGGTCGGTTTCGAAACTGATATTTTGATGGTTGCAAGAGAATGATTTTAATGTCTTTTGTATCATTTTTTCATCCAAAGTTATTCAAGCCTAAAATTGGCTCGGCTGTAATCTTGAGTGGGACATTAAAAACGGCATTGAAAAAATATAATCCCTTGAAATAACATCCCCATGTACACAAATCTTCAAGGAAATTTTCCGCTGCTATGAGAAAAAACATTGATAACTGAATCGCTAAGGCTTATGTATTGGCACAACCTCGAAATTTAATATGGTCTAAGCCCCATCTTTCCAGTCGAACGCACAATCATGCTCTGTAAAAGCCAAGTCGTATTCAATCCACCATATTCAAATTACAACCAATAGCCTCTATGTACCGCTTCCTGGTTAAGTAAGAGTTATTTGTTTACATAAAAAAATCAAAACACTCGAAGATAATTCTAAAAGCATTAATGCACAAAGTAGGCCTACATCCTATGCACAGAATGTCACAAATGAATTGACGTTATTTGTGACCACAGCGACATTTCTAGTTCTGGTCAACCGTCCAACTATTTTACAGAAATAAAAACCCTTTACAACATTCTTCATTTTAAGCTCCTCATTGATGTACGCGACCTGAAAAATCGAATGTCCTTTTCTTCGCCTTTTGTTGAGTGCAAGACGCGAATAATTTCATCCAACACCCCCAGTTGAACATGGAAGCATGCCTAATCCAGCGTTCAGACCCTCAGCCCCGTGGGGCGATCAGACGTAATTGTCGGCTTGCAGACCTCGGCCACGTCTCGCTGTTTGGTGACGCACGACCGGTAACCGGCAAAGTCCAAGAATATTTTTTAAGGGAAAGGAAGTGTTTATTTTTAATCAAAAGATGATCATTTCAAATATTTCAACCTTAACAATTTAACATTTTACAAAAAGGAAAAGGAAAAAATTCAAGCGTTAAGGAAGAAAACTAAAACACCAAATCAAAGGATTCTCATAGTTCATAGTTAATTTTAAGAGGCTCATTTTGCCAAACAAATTTCCAGTTGGATGCTCAAACCACTCAACTAGCCAAAAAAGGCAGGGGAAAAATATAAGGAAAGCAGGCTTTGATGTGCGCGCGTGTGTAATACGCCATTCTAGTCTCAGCATCCCCCTCGAACCCCCCCCCCCCCCCACAAAAATAGCACACTCGCTTCCAAATAAAGCACGGAATGACAGTCAGGCCTGCACAATCACGTCGCTTTCTTCCAGGGACATGCCAGTTAAATTGTTTTGATCGCTGAAGAAGAAAAAAGGGAAAATATGACTCGCGTCAGAGTCTTGAGTAGCGGGGGGGGGGGGGGGAGGTTGGGAATTTCCAAAGATTGATGTCTATCACTGAGATGTGTTTTCGCATGACTGGACAAGATTTGTTCATATTTTCGTCCGTTGTGCGCGAGCAGCAAAAGCCTGAGCCAGAGGTGTGCCCGATAAAAGCAGAGAACGATCCCGTTCTACTGAATCAGGGGTTGCATTTTGTTTTTCTTGTATATAAAATGGAACATTCGAGAATCTGTGAGGTCACACCGGACGAAGCAATTTAACGATTTCTGCTGCAAGTGCTTCCGACCTTGGGATAATTTATTGGGAGAAAATGTACATGCACGATGACATCACTTCAAAGACTTCTTTTTGCTTTAAAGAGGAGGCATCTACAGAGTGTGCCAAAAAGTGCAACATTCAGAAAATAATTAAAACTGTTTAATGTGTTTTTCTTCAATGAAATAATATCCTGACTATTTCTCAATCCATTCCTTTTTATCACATTCCATTTTGGTCCCTAGATCCAGAATACAATCAATTCAAGTGAAAGGGTGTAAATTTTACTTGGGCCACTCTCACCTGGACATGCTGAATCTGGGTTAAGCATTGAATAGGCATTGAAGTTGGTGACATCACAGGTGAGAGTGGCCCAATAAAATTTACACCCTTTCACTTAATTGAATGTATTTCTGGATCTAGGGACCCAAATGGAATGGGGGATAAAGGAGTGGATTGAGAAATAGTCAGGCTTTAATATAATATATAATTTCATTGAAGAATAGAAACATTAAACAGTTTTAATTACTTGTTTCCTGAATGTTGCACTTTTTGGCACACTCTGTAAAAATAAAACGATTCTTACTTCTCTGTCATTAAAGTCTCTCATATTGTTAAAGTGATCTATATGGTGGATAAATAAATACGTTGTGCAAATTAAAATCTAACCGACTTCAACAATCTTTAAGGTTCAAGAGAAATCTTCTTTGATGACATCTTAGAGGCGTATTATTTCCTCATCGATGAATATTCATTTATTCATATTAGTAAGTATAACTATATACAATAGAATAGTCCACATGTACACTTTAGTAATACGGGCCTATGAGTTAAGTCATGGGAGGGATAGATAAGTTATCAGTTCAAAGTATTTGGCAACACCACAAGGAAGAGATACATAATATTATGAATACATTTACAACAAAATCACCCAATACACATCCTGTGACATGTGTATTGGATTACCAGTGTCCTATGAAATTTTGACTTGCATGAAATTTGGTTCTTTCCACACGATACGCACGTGCAGCACATGCGCTCTATCCACTCTCATTTCTCATTTTCTTCGTACTATGCCAAACCTCCAAATTGGCCAGTGGTTCTGTTTTTCCTGAAGTCCAAATTTCAGCTAACACCGGTCTTGCAATAAAGCAAAAATGGTCTCTAGCTTAATGGCGCCGACTCTCCTGAAATTACAGTTCGACAAATTTTAATAAAGAACTTTTATGTCATACATTCATAATTACTGTTTGCAAAGTTTAAAGACCTTTAAAGTTTCACAATGGGCTCAACTGGAATACAATATTTTTACATATCACATTGGTTTTTTTTTATAGATGACCATTTGCTGGTCTGAGACCATATCCAAAAACAGATTAACAATATTCAAATGATGTACCCGATGTAACGAAGGATATCAATCTATTTAAAACAAAATCAAATTCTAAATTGAAAATAAAAATGAATCAAACGAAATTTTCAGCTTACTTTTGAGTAAATTCTCTTATGAAACACTGACGTGGTTTTCTGGGGGTTGTTCGAGTTACTTCTAATGGAAAGACAATCACAAAAACTTACAACTAGGCACAATTATAACTGAACATAACAAAAAATTGGAAACCGTAGCTGTATTAAAATGTATACAATGTACAAGTTAAATGATGAATGTTTGGACGCGGTTTGGGGGCGTGGTTTGGGGAGGGGTGTAATCTTTGTCTAGCCCCTCCCCTTTTTCATTGTTGCACAAACATTTGAAGCAATTATAAAACCAATTTCCATTCCCCCCCCCCAATACTTCTGAATAATAAGCCTCTGTACTGATGACGTCACACTTTGTTTTCGTGTGTGCTTTCCTATGGTGCTCAGTGAACTGTGGTCCCCCACTGGCTCCATAGGAAAGTGCACATGTAACAAAGTGTGACGTCATCAGTACAGAGGCTTATTAGATCCTTAAATTTAATAGTTCAAAAGATTTTAGCACTCCTCCTCTCAAATTAACAAGTTCTAGAACTCTGCCTGGGTCGAGTAGCTAGAAAACAAAAACTAAAAGGATACTCTGCAAAATACTGTGCATGAGACTTTGTCCTGATAAATAAACTTCCTACAAACAAATATATACAGAAATACTAATGCGGCATACATGCATCTGATAAAATATGCTGAGATTTAAACACAAAATATTAATGTTAACACCGGTGTAGTGTGAAATTTGGACTCCAATGAAATATTGACTCATTGGCTGTATTGCCCATGCCTCAGTGCGAGTCAGAATTCATATAAGGTAAAAGGGACCAAATTTCACAGGAGTCCTAACTTCATATGACACCAACTCTTAGTAATAGCCACTTACAACTCCCCCATGTTCACACTCTGTAACATAACTAGTTGGTTAGATTAAATTAATGGAAATTTAGAAGTTGTCACAAGCATGTAAAGAGAGATCCCCAGGGCATTACAAGGTAGGCAGAAAATAAAAATCAAAGCATCAGAACATGGATGCCCAAGTTGACAGGTTAAATTATGTTAATCAAACTATAGACCTTATGCCTAGGAGCCATCTGTAGAGGGCAATACCTTTGTTTTGCTGGGATATGCATGAGCGAACCGTTTGTGAATTCACTGTTACTGAATGAAAATAACAAATGACGGTCTCTAAGATGGCTGCTACACATAAGGTCTATATGCACACCTTTAAACCAAGTTAATACCTCAAAACCATTATTGTGTCCGTACATATGTACCTGTGAATTACAAGAATTATTACTCATATAAATTTTATCGAAAATATACTAAACTGAAATGAACCAATCTGGAGGTCGCGGGTTCAAACCCCACTCCAGTCAATTTCTTTGTTCAACTCCAAAATTGACTTTCCAATCATGGCTTGCTGAAAGATCAAACTGGAATGCCACATCACTTTTTTAAATATATATTTAGTGAACAAGCTTTTATCCCTTATAACTGTCCTTTCTTTATTTAACTTTTGCTAGAATTGACAGAGAAGGTATTCTCAAACAAATGTCTTCAGCAGATTATGATAAAAAGCTAGACTCTTCAGCATTTGTATGACTTCAAGTCATGTTGTCGAGCAATAACTTTACAAACATTCACAATACTTACAATATAACTATCAATATGCATGCATAGATTAACTTCCTGACTCAAAATTTGTACTTTAAACTGTACACAAATTTACAATTATTTACATAAATAATGGTCAGCATTTTCCTTTTTTTTTGTACTATAACAATTTTCTTTCAGCAACTGTCCGTTAATAAAGCGATGTCCACTCGCAAAGCCGATTAAATAGTTAACAGACACAATACAAAGAGGCGACGTTCCTTAATTAAGGACCTTGGCAGTAAAGAAATATGCAGCAGAATTTGTGCATCTGTACACAGGCTGGTAGAAATTTAGCATCACAACAAATCTTGCGCAGATACTTGAACTGTTTAGTTTTTCCTTCTAAGTGGATGGGGAAAGGGGCGGAGCTAACACCCCCACTCTTGTGTCCAGACATAACAACTCTCATATATTAATTTCCAAATGTGAGGAAAATGTACATGTAGATACAAGAGCAGTTATATTTTGATTAGAAAAAAACCCACAATACATGTGAAACGTGACGAAACAATCTGATCTCATCCACTGCAATTTTTTCTTAAAGCCATTACAAAAGAATGGCAATAAAAGTCGCATGATTGAAGCGTACTCTTGACATGTACGTGTTTTTTCCCACTCGCTATGCCTCCTCAAGATGATGGTACATTAGATTATGGCAATTATGGTCGACACTGGGCAAAATTCACTACGATACGAAAGAATCACATTTTTTTTCTACGTAAATCTTTGATAAAGCACCACCTGAACCCAAAACACATAACATACACGAAGCACGACAATAAAACTGAGTACAAACAAAAAACAACCAACACACCAAATTCTCAAAATCAAAACCCCAATTAGTCATGCCCACCAAATACAAGAACCAGACACGTACAAATTTCACGAGAAATGCATTAAATAATTGACAAAATAAGACGAGAAAAATAAAGATAAATATTGCTATTTTGAATATTTTACGCGGCTGCTGCTCACAAATAGTCAGGATTGACTACAAAGCCTTTCTTCTTTGTCCCCCCACCGGTACTGGTGAGGGTTGCGTCACGTTCTTCCCCTGGGGGTGGGGAGGAGGCAAGGAGATCGCCGGAGTCTTTGCTGCCTTTGCTATCCTCGCTGTACATGCTGCTGGGGCGGGACGTGCTTCGTGGTTCAAATTCCTCCTCGTCGGAGCTGAGTGGGTTGACGGTGTATTTGTCTTTTCGGCTGGAGATAAGAGAGAGAAGATAGATTGATTGTTGGATAACTTGATTATCTGATTGAATGGTTTGTTGGTTTTTCAACAAACAATGATGTCTTTGTTTACTGAATATGTAAACGACCAGCTGTACAGCGACGGACAGATAGATTGATAAATTAAATAATTGATAAATTGACTTTGATTGATTGTGATTGATGTCTTTATTGATCTGTTAATTAACTGATCTACTGATTGACTGATCTATTGATTGATGGAACTATTGATTACTGATCTATTGATTAATCTATTGATTGATTGATCAATTATTTGATTTATTGATTGATATATTACTAAATTTATCGATGGACTAATTGATCTACTGATTGGTTAATCTATTGACTCCTCTAGTAATTTTTAGTTGAAAAAAAAAGAAACATCAACACCAAGGCAAACACATGTAACTGGGACAGAGGAAGATTATTCCAACGATTTTATCAAATTTGCAACACGACTGACTAAAGCCAAAATGATAACACGGCAATAACAGTGTTTTACCCTGCCTATTGCAAAGTGCACTGTAAACACATACAGAATGATCATCGCAGGACAGGCTAATGTATCAGTACTCACTGAAGGGTTACGACCGATTATGATTGTAAGGGACGCCGGAAAAATTGTCCCCAATGTCAAATCTCTTGATGATTGCTAGAGAGGGATTGACTTCTGTGTTTCGCCACGAGATGCTACGGCTGCATCCAAATTACTTGGGCTACGGCTGCAGCAACACCAGGTCTATGGGAAGTGGATTCAGCCACTTCCATAGCTACATGTGTAATGGTAAAGCCGTACCCAACAATTCCGACACAGCCCATGAGAGCAAGACCAAATGCCGAGCAGTCATACATCCCCCCCCCCCCCAGGAAATCAGCAAATTTGGCTTTAGGAGGATTAGTAAGGAAAAAACGCTGGGATTGGCAGAAATGCAAGTGGCAGACTCGTGAATCGATAATTAACTGATGGAGAAAAAAAAGGAGATTTGGTCGATTGTTCCTGAGTGAAAACTGAACATGCCAGACAGGGTCGTTAGGCTGAGAGACGACATTTGTGCTGAGGATGTTGTAGACTTGAGATTAGAGTTCTACCAGGGGGGAAAAAGCTTATATTTGATGGGGATTTTTTTGTCTTGTTGGGGCATTGACATGAGGAATCTTGCAATTTAATGCCTGGTGTGATGTTGGGTTTTTTGGAGAAAACACAAGTCAACACTACAAGAACTTATAATGGCTATAGACCTTTATCACGCTGCCACCATTTCAGTCATGTTCCCTGTATCCAATAACAGTACTGCATGATAATGGTTTTATGCCAAAAGGAACCAGACTATTTTTCCTTCCATCCTCGCTTTGGTTACGTTGATTTGAATGGGAAAAATCCAAATGGCCGCAACCTGATAATGGTCTATCAGATGATAAAAACATGATTATGTTCACGATTCTTGTTAGTTGCTTCAACAACTTTAGCAAACAGTTTTTGGGCGAGGGAGTTTTACAGGCAAAGCTGACTGAGCCTTTTCTGTACAAATTGGAAGGATAATGTTTACCTTTCATTGCAATATATTGCTGTGTAAGTGATATGAAACTCACTATTTTCTACAACCATCCAATATAGTGGGACTAAAATCTAGGTACATCAATTTCTTTGACTACACACTAAAATCTATTTCAGAGCCAAAATGATGGGAAATATACAAGATTTGAACAACGTTTTGGGAACAATGCGACCTCTTTAGAAATCATGGCCTGCCTTGAATGAATGCAATACCCAGCTCTTCTAACTTCTACGCCTGCATGCACTATCCAAAATGTCAGATAAAAAGTACAGAGTGGACGTGTCTGTGTTTGAAATGAAGACCTCTATTGCGGTGACACCAACTTGGCATTTTGGAGCCAAACAAGTCCATTTATATGCAACGACATTCTGAGGTAAGAATCAGAATAAGATTTCTTGCAAATCCCTGTGTTGGTGTTCAGAGAGATTCAGAACAGTTCACATATACTGCAAGACCTTTGCAAGACAAAGCTTCGCAGACCTGTCAACGAGTTTATAGCTTGCTATCGATTATTCGAGATTTGTTGTGTCCAAAGAAGCTACGACCAAAAAATACAAGACCTGTGATGAATATTCAGGACAATGAAGAGAAATGGGTTAAACGATTAAATTAGTGCCAAATTGGCCAAGAATGGGGTATGGTTCATCAATGGCGCCAGGTATACCGGTATGCTTGCCTTGGTGGATGAGGATATAGTGTTTTTGTGGTCGGCTGAATAAATCGAGAGAGATAGAAGATCATCATTTGGAATATCAACTAGAGCAAGGATGGGGATCTGTCCTCATGCATGTGCAAATGGAAAGACAGAATGCCTCAAATGGGAAATTACTACTAGAAACTGTATAAATTTCATGGAATTGTAAAGTACAGAGAACTACTTAACACAGAAAATAGTTGCTTAGGAAAAGCTGGTTCCCAGCCAAAATGCCATGCAATGTGCTTGCTTGTCACAGGTTCCCACTTCATTTTTGCTTACCACAAAGATTTACTAAGCAATATATTTTGTGTCTGACTAGTTCTGTGAAATTTGGTCCTGGATTATGCCTTGTATTGGACAGGAAATAATGTAATAGGGTGCTCAAATCATCAGTCAAATGAAGCACAGTATCTGTGGCATAATGAGGAATTTTCAAAAGTGGGGGCAACGAGGAATTTTTCAAATGTGTGTGTGGGCGGGGGGGGGGGGGGGGGGGGGTGTGAGTTACCAATGGCCTGAAACTGATGGTTTAAGCCACGCCTGTATACATACAAGTGTGCTGTGTGTACTAGTAAGCGGGCCTTGATCAGTTGCATGGCTACTCCTCCCTTCTTTATCCCTCCCCTTTTTTTGGATATTTTTGTAACACCCCCCCCCCCCCACACACACACACCCCAGTTGCTACATGTTTGCCACTGCTTGTGGCTTTCCCTTGAAATGAGAAAATGATGTAATTATTATTGTTATAAGAAGATTTTTAATGGGTGGCAGAGAATATCTTACGCAGCTATTGGAGAGGGTTCCTTGTTCAAATGCTTTTGGGAGTTTGGCCTTATCATCCTATCAAACCACGCCATAATAGTCAAGGGAAAAACAAAATCAAATGTATCAGTTCTCATGTTGCAGGAATTAATGGGCTGTGTATCGCTTACAAGCAGTCTCTCAGAATCAGCAAGCAGATAGAAAGGGGTCAAATATTGGAAGTCAATTTACAATGATAAAAAGCTAGAGATTAAGTGGTTTCATCCTGGACTGGTGAATCCTATTACTGCTTAAAGCCTATTTGCATCTCTTGGCTGAAAAGAACAAAAGTTGTAAAAACTGGAATTTTTTTTTCTTTTCGTGGACGTGGTTCATGTTGCAAGGAGGATGTTAAGTGCTGGAAAATGTTTCGCCGATTTACGGCCGAAAAAAAAAGATGAAAGCTGCTCAGGAGTTTGTTTACCATCAACTTGCAACCTGAGATTCCAAATGGGAAAGTCCCAAGCTGCGATTACAGGATCGTGTCTCTTTTTTATTCTGTTACGAACTTTGGCGAAAAAAAGGAGTCCGGAGAAAACATTTGGTGTGGGGAAATCGAGCGAGTCCCCAACACCTGCAGCGAGCCGATGTTCGTATTACTCGACAGGTGGGTGGCTGCCGTTTCTAATTGATCGATTTGTAATCAAACAACTTAATGAGGACTCAAATTGACGATGCTATCGGTAATCAGAGAGCTTAGGTGGAGTAATATTGACAAAGAACTGGATTACTATCCCAGATATGATTACTGCAGCCTTTAAGAATATTTGAAAGAAAACATCTGGTGAGGTCTAGAGTTTAGAAATCTGAGCAATTTGAAGAAAAAAAAAGAACAGAAGAGGAAAAACATAATAAAACATGATATTTTTGTTAAAGGTTACCTAAGGGTACAAGTATGTATTTTAGCAGGCTCTTTCAGGTTATTTATGGTTCTGAGTATATAAAGGAAAAACAGAAACTGCAAGGAAATCTTTTATTGGATGCAACCTGAGTATGAAGTGTAGTTATTAGAGCATGGTAAATTGGCAGGTTACAGTATATACACATATTTTTTCAACAAATGGGAATAGTAACAAAACCAAATCCACAAATAGGCCCTTTTTGCACTCAAAAAGTTACAAAAGTACATCATTATTACCCCTGCTTATCACACCTATAAGATTCCCAAGACAATCTCAGCACAGATGTTGCCATTTCTGCCCAAATGGCTAATTCTGATACAACCATGTCTCCCCTTACAGGTATCATTACACCTTGGTTGGAAGAACCATATTGTGATAAAGTGTCTTGCCCAAGAACATAAGCACTGCAACCACTGCTCATCAGGCCTATAAATTGTCAAGACAATCTCAGCACCCGATGGAATACACATCTCGATGTTCCCATTTCTGCCCAAAGTCAGATACAAGTACCCCTGCCCTCACATGTATTATTTACTCAAGGACTTGCTTGGAAGAACCAAATTGTGATAAAGTGTCTTGCCCAAGAACACAAGCACTGCAACTGCTGCTTATCAGGCCTATAAATTCTCAAGACAATCTCAGCACCCTATGAAATACACACCTCGATGTTGCCATTTCTGCCCAAAGTCAGATATAAGTATCCCTGCCCTCACCTGTATTATTTACTCCTTACTTGGAAGTACCAAATTGTGATAAAGTGTCCTGCCCAAGGACTCGAACCCCATTATCTAAAAGAATCACAAGGTTTTGAGTGTGCCAGACCAGAGGCCAGAGAAATCCACCCACAACATATTATGGGTCAATGAATATTTTGAATGTTAATGCTGTATCAAGACGCAGGAAGGGTCAGCGGAATTTCTTTAGTGTGATAATTTATGATTTATATGGAAGGTGGGTGAGGGCAGGGAGTCTGAATTCATCACATATTTCAGTTTCATTCTCAAATTACCGTGTCTG